GGCTCAATTTATGCTGCGTTTCCATTACAGTTTAGTAGCTGGGGCAGTAACTATAGTAACGCAATGTAGGCGGAGCCGTGACGTCATCTTCAATGCGAACTACAGAAAAACAACATTAGCTGTTAGCCCTCAAGCTCACAGCTCCTCATATCTTTTCAGAAACTAGACAAAAGTTAAACAAGTACAAACCACAGACTGTCTGTGTCATGGCGAATACAGTCGCTGGTTTATTTATGTCTGTATAGGCCGTTGTTGTGAGTGTGGACGGTCGGAGCATTTACAACGTTAGCTTAGCCAAATCTCCATTAGAAAACACGCATTTTAAAAGGTTTTTCGCCTGCCGTCTGTCCGCAGACTTGTCAAAGCATTAATTCATGGTTTTTACTAACCGGTATCAGTATGTTGTTACTTCGGCATCATTTTGAAATGTGTATTACAATTAAATCACGGTCAAATATTTTCATTTTGTTGTAGTTGTAGCCCCCTTGCCAGCGATTCTCTCACTAGTTTAGCATACTCAGCCCGGACAGAAAAACTGTGAAACAGTATCCGTTAGCCGGAACTACCCCTAGTGGAAACGCAACAAAGAACGGCCGGGTTTGGGACGGCACACTTTAACCGTGCTACGCGCTGCAGTGGAAATGCGCCATTAAATGCCTGCTTGTCAAATACATTTGATCGTTTAAAGAAACACTAAAGAAAGATTTACATTAAAGTCACAATACCTTCCATAGGATATAATCTGCTTGTTGAAATCCGAAAACATAAAAATATGAAACAGAAATAGAACTCAAAATAAAGTGCAGCTGAGGCACCCGTCAGCGAATATTACGCATGGGTTAATAAACTAGGTCTGGGCAAAAGTTGTTTCTGTGCATTTTATTTGATTGATCCCAGATCATAAAGTGCAACTGTTTTCTTGTCTCTTGCTCACCTCGTGCTTACCCTATGGAAAAAAAACCTTATGGCACCGAGGCCACCACCACCTGTTCCAAAATAATCACCAGGTCCCCAATAAGGCCTTGTACAATAACCACTGGTACAGTGCAGAGTCCTTCTTATGTGACACTTGGTCACTTATAGTATTTTGTGACCAAAGAGACTTGAGACTAATCTAGTATTGTTCCCAAAAAACCTCTGAGTTTATCCAAAAATATGTCTCTTCCTATTTCCTCCATTCAGACACCATGATCCAGGTGGCCTCTAGCTTCAGCACAGAGCCAAGCCTCGATGTGGTTCTCTCCTCTATCCCTGCTCGAATATATGAGGCTGTTCACTTCCTGCAGGAAAACCTGGACAAATTCACAGACAAGGTAAGACACCTTACTTTGTCTGATCACTCAATATATTTCCCTCTCCAGTGTAATTCTAGTTTATGTCTGCAATCATGTTCCCTTAGAATTATTAGTGAAACCTTTCAACTGTTTATTAGATTCTTCCCTTGGTAAATACAATTAAGGAGTGTGCAATTTCACATTTACTATCCTCAAGGAGTGCTTACCTTGAGAATATTAGAAGCAAAGCTGCAGCAGCAACACGCTCACCCTCTCACCACTAGATTTATTGGTTTTATAGATGCATCCTTCAAATTAGGCTGCTGGGCAGCATTATTAAATTGCTGGGTTGCCATAATTATACCGAACTATATATCACCGTCACATTTATTGGACAAGCAGTCATTGCAGCTATAAGCGTTCTTGACCTTGTTTTAATACCAGCAGTGTTATATTCTCATATTTGTATTATAGTGGAATGTTTTTAGAGTCTGTTTATGTCTGTCCCCAAGCAAAGATGTCTCTATTGTGACCTCTAGTGGACATTTTCAATATCGCATAAATGTTGCAATGCATCGTTGTGTTGATGACTGTCTGTAAATGTGTGTGTGTGTGTGTGTGTGTGTGTGTGTGCGTGTAGGTGTACCAGACATGTGGAAACCCAGGTGAACTAGGAACAGGAAGTCCCAGTGTTCACGAGCAGAGGAAAAAGAGCAGCTCTCTGACCGCATCCGAGTACAAACCCTCTCCAACCGCTGGGCTCAGACTGGAGATGCAGGTTTGTGCGCGTACAAGTATCATGTATGTCTACACATGTCTCACTCTGAATGACGAGATTTAAAATAAATTAATAGAAATTGTTTTAATGTGCTTTTACGTGAAAGATTTTAGGGCACAGCAGGATTTAGTTTTAAAGGTAAAGATGTAATGAGTGAAAAGTGATGAAAGGGTTATTATGAGATGAGTTTAATCACTGATTTTTTTGTTTTGTTTATGAATCATGTTTTTTTATAGAAAACAGATACATTCCTGGCTATATCTTGTTGATGATTTACTATTCTGCCCCGGTTACATTTTGAAATGATATTACATGTGATTTAAAATGTATTATTTGTTTTGGATTGTATAGCCAGAAATTAAAAAAATATTGTCCTTGTCCTTAGGTGTCCGATCTGTCCAGTAAGCTGAGGGAGATGCGGCAGTACTGGATCCAGCTCCCTGTGGCTCTCTGCAGCAAACTGGCAGCAGGGGGCGCCAATCAGGAAAAATGCTGGAACGGGGTTACTAAAGCCAGGTGAGGAAGAAACCTGCTGACCTGACTGACCTCACACAAGTTATTTCATCTTTAAATGTGACATCTACTTTACCTGATCCTCAATCTTCAAAATGACCATCAAATCTCTACAACGTCCAAACATCACATTACATGTTTTTTTATCCAAAGCAACGTACAATAAGTAGATACAGAATAGCAACTAAGACACCGCAGATTCAGTTCCAAAGTTGAGATAAGATTTATATCAAGATTTATATGGGGGGGTAAAAGACCTAGGATAAGATATACCTCACTGCAATTGCCTAAAGAAAAAGGGGGACTGGCACTTCCAAACCTAAAGGAATATTATCATGCAGCGCAACTACGTCCTCTCATTTACTGGTGCAACTCATAGACTGGTGCAACTCATAGACTGGTGCAACTCATAGACTGGTGCAACTCCGATTATATGGCCCGCTGGAAAGACATCAAAATACTTACATATGAGTGCCCAATTCAAAGAGAAATGCCTCCCCATATTAAAGAAAAGGGAGACCTAGATCCAATAACAACATTTACACTTGAAAAATGGTATTCTATTATTAAACAATTGAAATTTGGAAGGGAACTTTGACTATTAGACTGGATAGCCTATGACAAAGGATTCAAACCAGGAAGCTATGACATTCAAGCAATGGACAGAAAAGGGTTTAACAGCCATATGCACGGTTATCCAAAAGGGAGAAATGAGAAGCTTCCAAGACCTGAAAAACATTTTTGACCTAGAAAATAAATACTTATTCAAATATATGCAAATAAGGGACTACTATACAAAAAAGCTTAAAAAAATTAAGATGACATACAACCTATTGTAAAGATTATTGCACGAGCTTACCATGCTGATATTTCCAAACTTGTGTCTACCCTGTATTCATGCTATGGAAGCCAAAAGAGATTCAACACTCTATGTAAAAACTAAATGGGATAAAGAACTAAACGAAAGAATCTCAGAAGAGATGTGGTATGATATGTGGAAAATGGTTAAGGTACATAACAAAGGAGTCATAAAAAACCAAGCAATATTATGTAGATTGTCTCCGTACAGGCACTGTTCTCTCTGAAATGTAATATTTGTTTGTGTGTAATTTTACCTTGTGAAAAAATCCATAAAAGAAAGTAAAAAATAAATAAAAAGAATAGCAACTAGGATCAGCTTTAAACATTAGAATACTTTTTTGTAACCAAAACTTACTTTGACAATCCATTTCTTCTGAAGTTAATTCAAATATTTTAGGTTGTTTTTTCTTTGCTGTTATGCATTTTTGATTAGAATCCTTTAACCCATGTTGAAGTTAACATTGTTCATGCAGCAAAGCTTTTAAACAAACAACTCCTTTTCATCCTTCCACATAATACTGGAGTGTGTAATAATACACTTTCAGGGTCTGTAATCTGTTCTTCACAAGTGTCATTTATGCAGCACATAGACAACAAGACATTACAGACAGAAAACCTGTGTCCTGCAGCACTTAAAGACACTTCTGAGGTCAGGAATATAAGAGTAGGCAGCAACTAGCTTCTGGTAACGTCGCAATTAAACATGCCAGATTTCTTCTCGTTGAAGGCCATGTCTATACTTTGTGTGGTAACAAAAGATGCAATAGATAGATACTTTATTGATCCCAATTTGGGAAATTATTTTAATATCAATCAATAGGCTATTTCTTAAAATGTTTTAATAAATGTTAATCTATTTTAAGGTGGTATTACATGACATTTCTTCCACATACAGTGATTTTAAATCCTGCCGAGATTCACATCCAGAACACTCGCAGTCATCGCCACCCCCACAGCCTCCTTTATCTATGTGTAAATGGGTTATAAAATAATGTAACCCCCCCCCCCCCACAACACACATACACCTCACATATGTTTAAGTGGTTGGATTACAGCTAAGTGTTTAAACACAAGAATCAGAGATAGGCATTTGTTTTCAAATAAACAAATAATGACATAGAACTGTGCTTAAAACACCTTTCAACAACCAGAGCCTCTCCCTTACACCCTTACATATTTCTTTTAAAAACCATATCTGCCCTTTTGTTGTTGCCACACATTGTTCACCTATCCCTCCATTCCTCAAATCAGGTACCTTCCAGAGGTGATGGGTGACGGCCTGGCCAATCAGATCAACAACCCTGAAGTGGAGCTGGACATCACAAAGCCAGACATGACTATCCGGCAGCAGATCATGCAACTCAAAATCATGAGCAACAGGCTGAAAAACGCAATGGAAGGCAACGACGTGGACTTCCAGGATGCCAGTGGGTCATCTTCTTACAATTGCACTGAAAGCAGTTTTATACTTGACAAACCTTGTCTATTCTGTTATGTTTTTGATGAGATTATTTTATTGCCTGATTCTTTATGTTAAACCAGAACAAGGGCTTCTAACTAATGACACATCATCTTAATTCAAACATTGATTCCATTCATGAAGGTCAAAACGTCCCCAATCAAGAGATTGCCACTTAGAAACATGTAATAAGGAAAAAATGAGAAAAAGGAATCTCCTCATCTGTTTTTTGAAAAAGTAAAGTATTAAACAACTTCCTATTAAAAATGTGTTTCCTCTCTCTCTGTAATCGTCTCCCTAGGTGATGACATCAGCGGCTCAGGGAGCGGGATGTGTTTCGGTGTTCAGTGTCATCGGAATAGAGCATTCGACTTCTCACCAGACACAACCCGAGCCAGGGGGGCCGCCACGTTTCAAACCCGCCTCTTTGGACTCCTACTCCTGCTCCCATTGGCCAGCCTGCTGCTTCAGCGATGATGGACCGCCGCCTACTCCAGTCAGACTCTGAAGCGTAGAGGAGGGCTGAACCACGGGACGGACAAAAAGGGGTTTGGTGGGGAGGGGGGTGTTACGTAACTTTGCCAAAAAAATTAAATGAAAAAGACATTTTGGGGAATGAATGGACGACATTTTCTTTGACCACGAGGGGCAACATTTGACAGTGACAATTTGTCTTTATTTCGTTTTGCTCAGTTATTATGTCTTAGTTTGAGTGTGATTCAGTTTGTTGAGCTGGTTTCAATGGATTGTCGGAAGAAGAAGGAGGCGAGGAAGACGAAAAGAATGACTGCTGTTGATGATGAAGATGATGATGATGGGGATATTGGTAATGATGTATTGACACTCTATCAGGTCCATTTAGCTCCAGTTTCCAGTCAGCAGGCGGCAGAGCTCAAAATATGTTTTGCTCCGACATGTGGTGCGATCAAGGTTTTAGTTCTTTTTACTTCTACGGTTTTTAAGTTGAGTCAAGTTGTCTACCTTAACAAAAATTGTGTACATTGTAAATGTTTGCATACTTTAGCTAAAAGACTGGCACCATATTGAGCCATGAATGTACAGTATAATACTCTATTGGCAATGAATCCCCCCATTATCTGTGATGTACTGTAGTCGTCCGGATGTTTTCATGTGTGTTGGCATAAGCAGTCAGTATGATTTGTCTGAAATACAAATGATCCCACTCCTGTGATGTTGTGATTGCAAGAGTTTACCTCACTTTTACTGTACACCCAACCATTTAAAAAAAAATTTGGGAAAATTATTCATCTCCTATGAAAAGAAATATCAGTCTCTTCAAAGGATGTAAACAAACACAGGACACCGTTTTCCTTAAGTCCTGTAATGATTTCCTTCAATGAAAATCTACACAGGAAACATTTCATGACACAGTAATCCTCCTAACAAGGACTCCTTGTTGAGAGCACACCAACATAAGGTAACTGTAAATGAAGTCTTAGAAGCAACACATTGGTTCAAACCAAAGCACTTATTACACTGAACACTTTTTTACAAATGTCAACATCGCCCCAATTATGTTGAACATTTGTAACAACCAGTTTACCAGGTTTTGTGACTGCATATGTTGATGGGAAACAATTATTACTAAGAAAACATGTGTTGTACATACAGAACAGGATATCTGCCGAATATTGACAACATGTATACATTTGCCTGGTTATACATCATTTACTCGGCATGCCTTTTTCCATACAACACTTTACTGGTACATACGAGACTCGCAAAAGTCTCATGCACATACACACTGGGGTTGTGTATTAATCTGTATTTAATCACTTTTCATCCATTAAACTCTGTTTGATTATAGCAGTGGCTTTTGAAATGTACATTTTGATTTGATTGGTATAATTAGCATATATTTAAAAAAAAAAAAGCTAGCTCTTTATTTAAAGGGCACTTGAGAAAATAAGCAAAAGGATGTCATGGGGATGTTATCAGCGTGGGTTTTGGGGCTTGAACAGAAAGACTGCATTTAAAATTGGGAGCATTGAGATTTAACGTGCATTTTTAACAGGCAAGGAGGGTCAAACTAAAATATTGACATTCATTATGGCGAATATAGCCTCCAATATTTATGGATCTTCAGGGACTAAAAGTTTTAGCCATGCTAGAGTCATGTTTGTCAGTTAGTTCACCATTTTGGTAAAAACAATTATATCTAAACAACAATTACAACTGCAATATCATTTTGTATGGACATTCATGCTCCAAATGATGGACTCCAATGATTTGTTGCTGCCTTGACTTTTCGTGTAGCAACACAATTTGGTTGACAGTGTCTCAACAACCATTGGCTGGATTGCCAATTCAATGTCATTCTTATTACTTTGGTGATCGTCAACCTCTTCATCTGGTGCCATAAACTGCCAAACTGATTAAAATCTGCTCCAGCTGTAAGTGAACTTAAGGTTAACTTAAATGATAAACATGGTAAACATGCCACCTGCTTGTAATTATTCAGTATGTCATTATAATGATGTTCACATCAAGCACCACTGAGACACTAGCTTGAAAGGTTGTTTAAACGTCTCCTGCAAGTTCCACAGACTTTATGGAAGTGCTACACTTAATCTCTGGAAAACCCCTTTAAGGCTATTCTGAGTCAGCTGATGCAACTCCTCAGGCATGTATCCAAGGATCCATTCATTAGAAACAGAGATGAGAACAAGACCAGTTGCTCTCGTCTTCATTTTTTCCGTTTCTGAGGCTCTGTGGCCACCACATAGTCATGACTCAGTCCCTAATTGTGCTTGTTTTTTTAGAAAAACTAAACTTGCCAGATGCTCTACAGCTATAAATAAACATATAACTCTTTATAACAGGCACTGACAAGCTGTATGTGTCCCTGCTGGAGAAAAATAGGGCCATGTGTTGTGTGGGATCAGTGTTGGGTGTAACAAGATACAAAAGTAACGGAGTTACAGTAATGTATTACTTTTTGCTGTAACGAAGTAATGTAACGCATAATGAAATGTGGGTAATTTACTACCCGTTACAACACATTTTTAACCCAAAATTAAATGGTGTTTTGTTTTTTAAGAATTTACCAACATCGAGAGACATTCCGACACCAGAGAAAAATTGTGCGGATTAGTAAACCTGGTGTTTACCCTTCAGGCTCATCAAGAGCCCTCCGCTTCACATTGGGTTCCCTGATCAGCCTGTCGGGTGTTCTTTTCCCCGTAATGACCGCCTCGCTGCACATTATCCCGCTTATTACACGGCCATATACTAAACAAACTACAGAGCCCATTCCATGTTCCTGTTATTGTTTACTTCCTCTCTGCCTTCTTCTGGTGATTTATCTGACGTCCAGCCCTTCGTCTTTTAACCTATTTTCCTTTCTCTTTCTTGATCCTCCTTAGCAACTTTTATAGTCCTTGACAGTGGTCTGTACTGCTGTATTAACAACGTGTCACATGTTAAGAATTTACAATCGGAATTGAGTATTCAACTAAGCCGTGTAATAAAAGTTTTTAGTAGCCTTAATGGCCTACACAGTTGTTATGCTATACCACATTGCCCTTCACTGGATGTATAATCAGGGCCGTCCCTCCCTAGAGGCCGATCATGCAGACTGCGTGGGGCCTCACCTTGCGGAGGAGGCCTCATCTTGCGGAGAGAGCCGAAAATGCGGCGCAATGCGAGACAGTAATATTATAATGTAACTTATTACTTAAAAAAGACAGTAATAAGTAATATGCACTGTATTACATTTTGAAAGTAAGTTGGCCAACACTGGTGGGGATGACTATCCTGCACCAGTCAGGGGGTTTGGAGTTAATAAATGATGTATCTTCCTGATGCATACAACAGAATGAGGCAGAGCAGCAGGCACATAAGCAAACACTTCACTGCACGTCTCTGTCTTTAAAAATCTTAAAAGTTTCATGTGTCTTCTCCTGTAATTGTGAATGATGTGGAAGTAAAGGTATAATCTGAACTGACTTTTCCTGAGAGGTGGGAGGACAGGTGTAGCAGCCACATTATGCCTCTGTTGACTTTACTTGTCTAGACATGATTTATCGGCGTTGAGCCCCCTGAGCTGAACTGTCTGTCCGTGATCACCGTTTTCCCCTAGGTACGTCTGAATAAAAGCTGCTACAAATCTTGCTGCACACATTTTTAAAACTCTGGAGACAGCTTAGACAAAATTGTTCTGCTCATGTGGTCTAGAATTGATTTTTGCGCCTACACCTGTGCGTTGAAAAGAAATTAAAATGTGTTTTACTGGAGATATGGCTGCTTCCGTTAAACTATTTCAAATGCGCCCAACTGCTAACTTTAAGATAAGAAGCATCTCTAACTTTGAGTCTGCTCTTCACTTAAATACATATACACAACTCTTTAAGATACTGGTCAATAGGTACAAGGATGCAGGAGCCACTGAATAAAGGGGATTGATGTGTCCATGGTGAAATGTCAGGTTGAGAGAATGCAAACGGACTGTCGGGCCAGGAAATGCAGTGTCACAGAAATTATATGTACTGTTGTGTTATTGAGCAACTTTTCCCTTGGTAAGGGACAGGAAGCTGCAGGAAATGAAGGAGGCGTGAGACAGAAAAGGATCTTCAAGAGAAAATTGATCCACAGCCATTGGGGGATGAAATGTATCAAAGTTTCCAAACTGCTGTTGTCATTAAAACTTTTAGCTTGTTCTTGTAAAGGAAAAAAAAACTTTCTTTCTGTTCACTCATGATCCATAATATTGCTACAAAGGATGCACCTGTCCAACTTTTCTCTCCTGGTATCAATTGAAGTTCCTGTATGTATCGGACTGTTCAAGTCCCAAATAAATACCCTATTTTCCCTATCTCACTAAGGGGAAACTGAGGAAAACTATGGCATTAAAAACTGAATATGTCGTGATGGAAACATTCGTTTTTTTAATGACATTCACAGATACATTTTGTTTAATGTCACCGAGCTGGAATAACTGCTTCATTAAACTAATTAACCTTTTACCACACACTCTCTTCCTACAGTATGAGGCTGGAACTATCAAGAATCTTGAGCATGTGTTATGTGTACTGATATATCATTTTGGTTCATGGGTAATTTTGCCACTCAATCCAGGGCAGTTGTGTAATACATCCTTGAAAGCTATTTGTCTAATCTTGAGAGAGTAATGATAAAAACATGTTTTCATTTTTTTTAAAACATGTCCGAAAAAGGGAGAATGGCTATTAAAGGGTCAAAGTTGAGCTGAAAGAGTGGGTGGTTACTAGAGACCCAGCACCCCCACACAGGTGTTTCCACTTTACCTGCTGATTAAGCTTCTCAGATTGAGGTATGGTGGAGCTGTGTTGTGGTCCTCAAAGGTAAAAATAAACAGATGATTGCAGACATTATCAATGTGTAAAATGTCCTACCAGTAAAGGCACTGCAAAACCAACTCAAATCGAACAAACAGATACCTGAGAGGATGTCTCTCTAAGTGAAAATGTATAGGTTTGCTCTGATGAGGGCCTTTACTGCTGTTGGTGAACAAAAGAAGCAACAACACAACATTAAACTTGTGTAGCTTAAAGGTGGGGTAGGTCATTTACTTCAGAAACACTTTTTGTTATATTCCATGGAATGCTCTTAACATCCCGATAGTAATGAATATATGAAATGCTTTGACAATAAATACATAAAAACATTTCATCTGTGGAAGCCGTGGCGCTGTAAAAAGCACGACCAATTATTTTAGCCGGCCCGGCTAAAATAACTGGATGGCCTACCTGCCTGTCAGCCTTCCAACTCGTGCACAAACCTATAACGTGCCCTCATTGGTCATGTGCACGTTTGTGTGTGTTGGAGGAGGGGCTCTGTAAGGAAGTGTGAAGGGAGGGGCAGATTTTTTTTCTTCCAAATTCTAGCGCACTCGAGCTGGTTTCTCCATTCTTATTTACCCTACTTTTAGACTTTAGAAAATGTATGCAAATAGTGTATTTTAGATATACTCAGTGTTTCAGTGTCTGGCTTTAGAGGTGACTACTGGTTGGAGTGTGTTTTAATATATTATTAATGTAATACAATTTGTGGTAAACTGAAAAGACCTGTGGGAGTACAGTATACACTTTTGGAAATCAGGAATCAATATAGTCATTTTCAACACCAACGATGGCTGTGACATATTCAAGTGTGAGAATAAGACAGCATGCACAAACTAGAGAATGCAATTCCTGAAGAAATTGCAAGTGGGAATGCTTTATGCTGAAAAGCTGATGCTAAACTGCTATGCTGAAATGTAATGTTTAAGAAGAAAGTGAAGAATTTAGATTGAAATGATACACGAACACTGGTTCTTGAATGTGTGATGAAAGAAGAAAAGAAAGTAAAAAGGCTTGGAAAAGCAGCAGAATATTTGAACTGCAAACTTTTGAACTAAATTGATGGCGAATGATCTGTCGCCATGCCAATGGCATTTGATGACATCCCATATTATGCTTATGCGTTGATGGCTGCATCGTTACCAAACTTGTGAAACGGCATATGATGACACCCCATAATTGACGTAGAGCTGTTAAGGGCAGGACCATTAACCATTATCTGAAGTCTGCTGCTGTTTTATGGCGAGGGATGCGTTGCCATAGTAACACCACATTACGTAACATCAGATCTGATGTAGGGCTGTGTTAACTATTATCTGAAGTCTGCTGCTCTGAGCATGTCAGTTGGAGTTATGACATCATCGTGTTCCATGAAACATGTGTTCATATTTGAGCTAACGACGTGTTCAGAGATCAAAGGTTTCCATGGTGATCAGTGAGAGGAGAGCATTTTCATTGTTCTGAATGAGAGATAAACCTCTTACATGT